CGCTGACCGCCGTGGACCTGGCCGCGCACGGGGCAGGGGCGCTGGGCCTCGCCGCGCCCGCGCTCTCTGACCGTGTCTCTGACGCCCTCACTTGTTTCCGCTCTGATACCAGGAATTATCCCGAAAAGCTAACATGCCACCTCACGAAGCCGCCCTCTGCTCCGAGCCGGACACTTGTGACGAAGGCAGCTGCAGTGGACCCGCCTCCCTCTTCCCGCCTCCTGCCGCTGCCCACCCGGCTCCGCACGACCCACCAGCCCGGCTGGGACGCGCCAGACCCCCGCAGGACTGACCAGGAGGCCACCCTCCGGGCAGGACGCCGCGCCCCCGCTGCCACTCATCCTGGCGCCCCCGCCAGGCCTGCACCCCCTTCTCCGCCTCGCGCCAGTGTCTGTTGGCAGCTCCTGGGTTTGACGATCGTGGCGGAGGAAGCGGGCAGCCCCAAGCCGGGACTGCCGGGACCCCTACCCTGTGCGTGCAGGCAGCTCCGGCGGGTCTGCGGAGCCGCCTGACCTCGTCCATCCATGCGTCTGTCCGTCTGTCTGTCCCCAGGTCACTGGCGGGTGGGGCCGGGCGGGCAGGGAGCGTCTAAGAGCAGAGCACCGGCAAGCTACTGTAAACTTTAAAGAATTCCTGCAAGATATTTTTATAGACTTTTTTTTCTCGGTTGTTTTTGGAAAAGGGAGCGGGGGTGGGGAGCCGCTGGGCAGGACGGAGTTGGCTCGGTGCCCCCTCCTGGATATTTCTATACGCACATACATATATATATATATATATTTACAGAAGGACGTGGCCCCCTCTCTGGGGGTTGGTCTCGCAGGCTGGACGCTTCCCGGCCCCTGTGTGGGGGTGCGCCAGGTTTTGTGTCCACTAGCGGAGAGGAGGGCAGGAGGCCGGCTGCCGCAGGGTTTTTTATTAAAATGACAAAAAGTTAAAAAAAAAACCGAGGGAGAGAAAGGCCAGGTCCCCGCCTCACGCTCTGTGTACATAGCGAGTCCAGGGGGCGCCTGCCCGCCTGCGCCCAGGCCAGCGCGCCTCCACTCCGGCCTCTGGTCCAGCTTCTGGCTGGGGACGCCGTGGGCCCGGCTGGCGGGGGCTCCGGGGAGGCTGGGCTGCGGCCAGTGGTCTCACCTGCATGCCTCGCCCCCCAGCGCCTCTCCTGTATAGATTTTAATGCTTCTGTTACCCTGAACCTCCACCGCAGGCCGGGTGTCATCTAGAAAGTCCTAGGCCTGCAACAGCGCCGGCCGCATGGGGCAAGCAGGAGGGCTCCCCTCGGACAGGCGCCCGCCGGAAAGCAATACCTCCCGTTAGCCCTCCTCTTTTGTACTTCGGACACAGCGGACATCACACAACAAACAGCCCGCCCAGTGTACCCTCGTCCTATAACTGAACGACTGGAGTTCCCACCAATAAAGCCCTTCGTAAAGACATCCACCAGTCTGCTGGGGAGGGTGGGCCAGGGCCCCCGCGACTCCAGGAAACGCCTTCGAAAGACACCTAAGCACAGCCTGTTCAAGGTGGGGGCGGGGCTGAGGGCACCTGCTGTGCCACCTGCGCTCCTGTACCTGGGAGCTAGGCAGATGGGGTGGGGCAGTGCACCTCTGTCTTGACTAAGGAGGGCAGGATCCTACATGGGGCTGAGTTCATTTCCTCTGCGCCAGGGGCCATACCCCCAGGCTGCGCTAGCCTGACCTGAGGTCACTCAGGACTGGGGCTGGGCAGGGCTCAAGTCCAAGGTGCATGGAGGATCAGATCATCATGGGACACGGGGCGGGACAGGCCTCCTCACCACACGGGAAACCACCCCCTGACCTGTGTGGGGTCAGTCTGGCAGAGGCTTGTTCTAGACAGAGCAGGACAAACCTGCTTTCAACTTCTCTTTTGAAAAAGGCTGACAGGTCCATGAGATGGGCCCTGGACGCAATGTGTTAGGGACCTCTGGGCAGCTCTGGGGCTTGTGGGTTGGCCAGTGCAGAGGGAGTCCACTGTCCCCACACTCGGGACCGTCTGCTTCAGCTCCCAAGAGTCACAGAGCCTCGGGACCATTTTGTGTAGACAGAGCCTAGGAACCTCCTCCCAGGGCCTCCAGGGTGGGCATGAAGCAACCGTCCACAGGGGGTCTGAGAGACCTCCCCACCCCAACTAATCATCTGCATGTCCGTGTGCACATACAGCCAGCAGCCCTTGGCCATGTGCGTTGTTGCACACACAGGGCCCTCCCCCGCACACCAAGGCACCGTGTGGTCCCATGGTCATGGCAGTGCCACACTTAGCACCCACCCAACCATCCATACCTGCGATGGCTCCTCTCCCCAGCACTGCTGGCACTGGCTGGTCCTTGCTGTGGAGGCTGCACTGTGTCCTGTCAGGTACCTCCCAGATATGGGCTGAGAGCTGCTGCTCGGCCACCTGCCTCACGGCCCAGCTCCCTCGGAAGCTGGTGGCTCTGCAGAACAGCAGCGCCTCAGCCTCGCGACGAGACCTGGGTCGTTCCCTGCCGAGGCCTGAGCGTCACTCTGCCCTCTCTGAGGTGAGAGGCCAGGGATACCTTGCAGACGGAGGGGACCAGGCGATTCCAACTGCTAAGCTTCAATTCTCTAAAAATAGATTGAAGGACGGGATCTGGTGGTTACAGTCCAGCAGCCACATGGTCGTCTGGCTCTTGGGATTCCAAGCTGCTGCTGTGACGCCAGGTGGTTTTGTTTTGATTTTGTGCTTTTACTGACTGAGAAGCCTCACATAGACTGCACCGCCTTCCTCTATTGGACCAGAATCTAAAAAAGCTTGTGACTTTTTTTAATGGAGACTAAAGCATCAGCTTTGATGGGAACATGTTGCAGGCTCAAAGGAAAGGAGGCCAGAATTGATCTGCCGTGGATCTGTCCAGTCCATGGAGCACATGGCTAAGTGACCCACTGCCCACACCACTCCCCTTGGGCTCTGGAACGTCTACATGTGAGATCATTTCCTAAAATCCCATGATGACACCAAGCTGTTACTTGGTTACTTAGTAACAGAAGCCAACGTACCCTATCCTGAGCCAAAAGTTGTTAATACTTGTTAAGTGCCATCGAGACAAGCACAACTCAGCCACTCTATGAAAAGACCTGAACCCTGTTCTACAACTCTTGTTGGTTCTCTGTGTTCATAGAGTTTCCAGAAGTGTGTGGTTTAGGAAGTGGACGCCACTCCTGCTTGCAAACCTGAACCAATCTGGGAGCTCCACCAAACACTGTCCATGAAGGCTAACAATTGCGACATCTGACACACCAGTGACACAGCGTTCAGCATCACAGCAATGCCACGTTACTTCAGCACAGCAAATAGACCAATGCTGTGCCACTTAGAAGAATGTTCATCTCAAATACATCTGACACCACGCCTGAGGGCCCTACGAACTTTTAACTGCCAGCCCACCAGGTCCCGGTTGACTCTAAACCAAGAGGCTTCCAGCCTCAGCTCATTATTAGCGAAACAAATCCAGTTAGGTCACACACTATTGTGAATGGAAAAAAAACCCAACCAACCAGTCCACACCCGGCCCTCACCAAAACAAGAGAAACAGCTTCCAGAATCCAACTGCTTCACACGTGAGCCTCCAAAGTGGAGACTTAGTCGGACCAACTTTACTAAAATGTATTTTGATGTTATGTGCTGTCGAGTCATTTGCAACTTACAGCGACCCTATGTACAAGAGCCCTAAACCCTGTGGCCTAAACCTCTACCCTGAGCCTTATTGTCTATGACACAATACCCCCAGTAGAATTAATGCATCTCATCAAGGGTCTTCCTCTCTTGTGCTCCTCCACCCTCCCAAACATGATGTCCCTCTCCAAGGACTGGTCTCTCCTTGCAAAACGTCCAAAGTATGTCAGACGAAGCTTCAAAATCCTTGCTTCTAAGGAGCAGCCTGGTTTAACCCTCTCCAGGATGAATCTGTTTGTTTTCCTAGCAGTCCATGGTACATTCAATACTCTTCTCCAGCATCACAACTCAAAGGCATCAATTCTCCTTCTATCATTCCTAGTCATTGTCCAACTCTCTGATGCATAACAAGTGATTGCAAAGACCACAGCCTAAATCAGACTCACTTTAGTCTCCAGAGTGACACCATGGCTCTTCAGTACTTTGGAAAGGTCCCTAACAGTAGACTTTCCCATTGCAATACGTCTTTTAATTTCCTGGCTGCTGGGGCCGAGAGTGTCTCCTCACCATGCATAGTGATGCTGCCAGTTGGCCCAGTGGTGACAATTTGTTTTCTTGATGTTGAGCTTCAATCCATATTGAAGACTGCAGTCCTTGACCTTCTGCAGCCAGTGCTTCAGGTCCTCCTCAGTTTCGGCAAGCAGGGTTGTGTCATCTGCATAAAGCAGGTTGTTGATGACTCTTCCACCAATCCTGATGCCACATTCCTCCTCGTACAGCCCAGCATCCCAGATGATCTGTTCTGCATAAAGATTGAAAAGGTATGGAGACAGAATACATCCCTGGTGTACACCCTTCCTGATTTTGAACCATGCAGTGTCTCCTTCCTATGCAATGAAAGTAACATATACAGGCATACTATGTGCCAGCCAGTAGTCTGCACCTTACGTGTATTAAGCCACTAAGTTCTTACAGTGTTCTTACGGAGAAGGAACTGAAAACGAGAGAAAAAGGTCATGGGTTTGTCGGTCCCAGTGTGCAGCCTCTGGAAGCTAAATGGATGGCCCTCGCTGGGCTGTGGGTGGGTCTGGGGGGAAGGTGGATCTTGGTGACGCCGTGGGTGTGGTCGAAGGGAGGGGTGTTAGTGTTCCAGTGCTCCGTAACAGGCGCCATGGATGGGTAACTAACACCGCACATCATCACAGTTCAGGAGCTGAAGTCTGAATTCAGCATGCAGCTTCTGGGGGCGGCTCCGAGAAGCTGAGAGAAGGCCCCTTCCCCTCCATCTTCTTTCCAGCCCTCTGGAAATCTCCGGGCACCAAGGTTTCCCTATTTCTGTTTCATTTTATATCTCAAAAGAGATTGAAATAAACCCAACATTAATTCCATCTTATTGTTATATACAAATGTAAAATAGTGGAGTTCTGGTGGTCTAATGGCAGGAAGCTGTGCTCCAGTCCCCAAGGCGCACGGTTTGAGTCCATCAGCTGCTCCATGGGAGAAAGATGGGCAGTGTCCTGCCATGTGACTGCCTCTGGGAGCCCACAGGAGGGTCAGCTTGGGCTGCTTCTAACTCAGTGGTACAACAAGAAGTCTTCACAAACATACAGTGATGAAGTAAAAAAAAACCCGCCAGCTAATACTGGGCTAACACCCCAAATGAGTGAACTGTAGGCATAAAGCCGGGGATTTAAACTTTTTTTTGAGGGGGGCAAAATTCAATCCATAACATTCTCCCCTTTGACCCCAAAATTCGTGTTCTTTCTACACGCAAAACACAGTCACTCCATCAGGGCATTTAAAAAGCCGGAAACCAGCTCCAAACCCCCAAAATCACAGGAATATCCTAAGTCAGACATGGGTG